TATGAATGGCCGCGTTCAGCAGACACAACTGTTGAGTGAGCGCTCAGTATGATTGGTTAATAGTTTTAGATCCAGCTAGAGCTACTAGATAAAGGGGAGCTGACTCGTCCGCCATCTTGGAGCCCAAACGTTTGACTTCGACAAATGCATTTCGGCACAAGATATGAATTTCTTGTTCTAAATTTATTGTTAATAAAATTCAAATTACGTCTTTGTTTTTGGAAAGCTATATTTTTATTTATTTACAAATTAAATTAATAATATAGCTTTAATAATTAATTAAAAATATAGCTTTCCAAAAACAAAAACGTAATTTGGATTTTATTAACAATTAATTTAGAACAAGAAATTCATATCTTGTGCCGAAATGCATTTGTTAAAGTCAAACGTTTGGGCTCCAAGATGGCGGACGAGTCAGCTCCCCTTTATCTAGTAGCTCTAGATCCAGCCAATCATATTAAGAAATCACTGAGCGCTCACTCAACAGTTGTGTCTGCTGAACGCGGCCATTGGCTGGATCTAAAAGTATTAATCAATCATACTGAGCGCTCACTCAACAGTTGCACAACCATTGAAAGTTAGATGATTGGCTCGCGATTTGGTGAATTTTAGAATTTAATAAACGTTGTAAACAAATGATTAATTTAATATTTTTAATATTAGTAAAAATTATCAATCAATTGTAAATTAAGCTATTTTCCCTACTGGATTGCTTACGAGAGCCAATCAGGTCATCTGATCTAAAACCCTGCATCCTGATTGGCTCTCGCAAGCAATCCAGTAGGAAAAACAGTATCGTATGCCGTTGGCATTGAATTTTTTTTATGGTTTGAATTTTCTGAATTCCAAGCACTGTTTCTTCACTCTAAAATGTCAACAATGGCCTAATCAGATCCTTTATGCAAATACGTTTATGCGCTGTGCGAATACCGAATTATGAGTCGCGAGCAATGTCGAAGGTTCGCATTGGCAAACGACGACATATCCGAGAATTTTATTATACAATAGCAAATCGCGCGTCTGATGCGAACCTTTAAGCCCGTATCAGACTACGGATTGAGATTTGGATTAGATTGAATTTTGACCAATCAGAGTAAAAGTTACTGAACTTGAGATTAGTAAACTTTACTGTGATTGGTTAAATTTCAATCTAATCCCAATCCGTAGTCTGATACGGGCTTTACGTTTCTTTCCTCTGTTTTTCTTTGCTCCTCAAAGTCAACGGCGTCTGCTAGCACTCGCGCCACCGCGCACGCGCGCAGTTACGTTTCATTAAATGCAGGAATGATCTATAATGCTTTCCAGAAAAAACTACGAACGCACTACATGCGGCCTCTCTTGTCGCTTTATACGACTAAGGTTGTTTAACTTCAAGCTTAGCTTAATTCGTTCTTTGTCTCTTTCCAACTGTTACTTTGGAAAGAGACGAACACGAATTAAACTACGAGTAAAGTTAAGCGACCTTAGGCCCGGTTTCAACGTTGTTTAACTTTAAGCTTAGCTTACTTTGTTCTTTGTCTCTTTCCCACTGTTACTTTGGAAAGAGATAAACACGAATTAATAAGCGACGTTTGGTGAAACCGGGCCTAGATGCAGGAATAAAGGAAAACTGCAGAAGATGTTAGCAGTTCCAAAAGACATGATATAAAACGTGGTCAATATTTCTGGCATAACTGTAAATACTAGTTCTATAAGTATTTTAAATAATTTGTGGAAAAGAAAATATATACTATATAAGTTAGTATATGTTATACTATAAACAAATATTAGCTGCACACGCATACGCCTGATCCAACATTTAATTCAATATATGAGGCAATAGAAACTATTAATAACACTTCCGCAGCATCCTGGGCATTAGAAAACCAGTCACGTGGTCGTACCTCGCGCACGCGCGTCAGCGCGCGATTTGCAAGATTTATCACACGACGTTGCCCACCTCCCCCCTCGTCGATCCATTTTGCCATCGCCCGCACCGCCTGCAGCGGGGCCCGCGGTCGTGCAATTTTTTCCCCCGGAACGGGAAGGGGGGGGAGCAATGTAAAGAGCTGAAAGTGTCATCTCGCGCGCCCATGTAACTTCTGCCTCTTGATCGACGCGTGTGCGATCCGCTCCGTGCGAAGAGAGGAATTCGTCTCGGAATGAGCGAGGGGCGGTGAGGCTCAGCTCGGACTCACGCGCTCGGCGTCACGACGCGACGCAGCGCGACGGCGGAAACGCGCGGGCGCCTAGGACGATTTCGACGACGCAGTATAGGTATGTCGCACGGCACGCAGACGTCCGTCCAATTCTCGTCGGCGTCGCACGTCCACCAGGACGCCGCGACGACGACGACGCCGACGACGCCGCCGACGACGCCGCCGGGGACCACCCCGCCGGACGAGCCGCCGGAGCTGGCGAGGCACTTCCGCACGGGTAACCAGCGCGGCATCGCCGCCTGCCTCGACCAGCTCAAGAGCGACTCGGAGCACCGCAAGAAGCTGTTCGAGCGGACCGACTGCCTCGACATCCTCGTGCAGCTCCTGCGCAGCGACAACCAGCGGATCGTCGACAGGAGCCTGAGCGTACTCGCGGATGCTTGCATGACCGACGACGTCAGGAAGAAGGTACGCCTCCTTCCGCTGCTCCACGCCAGGTCGCTGAACAACGTCGTCGATTCGACGCTCGGGGCCCATTTCGGCCAATCTTAAGCCTCCGTATTCTTATTCTATAAGTCTCCCGGCCAGTTCTAAACATGTTGCTTAACTGCTAACCAGAGGTTAATCGATTCCCTTTCTTTTTTTCTTTTTTTATATTATTGTCTAAGGCCTGGTTTCGTCAATTAACTATAAGCTGTCGTTTGTTTCCAACTGTACCCTTGGTAAGAGACAAACATTAAACCAGACTAAGATTAAAGGTAAACACTGGCGAAACGGGGCCCTCAGGGCTGGTTCAACCAAATGTCATTTAACTTGTGTCTTTAATTCACGTTTGTCTCTTTCTAAAGTAACAGAAAGAGACAAAGAACGAATTAAGCTAAGCTTAAAGTTACGCGACGTTGGCGAAACTGGGTCTAAGACTGGTGTTACATTTGTCGTACGACTTAGAAGATACGAAATTGACTTCGGTTAGCAGTTAACTGGCGTTTGTAAAACGACAGTATTGTTATATTGTCACCTGTTTCATCACGTGTTACACTTGTACTAATAACAATATAATGATAACGGAACTGTTGTCGAGATTTACAGAATAGGAGTATTGGATAGGCTTGTCAACACTGCTCCAGAGCTGTATGACGTATCAAAAGAAGTAAACTCTGAAGCAATATTGGCGAATCTAAAGGCCCGCGTTCACAATGCTAGAATTTGGTTTCAAGCTCTAGTTTCGAGGAATGTGTAGCCAATCAACTTGCAGCTATTCTGGAATCTTATGACAGTAGAGATTTTACTTATTTGTGGGGGCCACCGTAGCAATATTCAATTTCTTTTCTATTATTTTTTTAATTATTAATATCAATTTTGTATTAATAATCTTCATCCGTTTCTCCACTTAATATATTAATAGAGTGAAACTGTTGAAGTTATCGCTAAGTTTATCGAGTGCACTCCAAGATGTAGAGAAAATTCCTCTATCATGAGATAGGATTCTAATATGAGATAGCAGGTTTTCAACGTCCAATTCAATCGCAAATCTTTTTTCGCAACAATTACACGACATCTGACGGTCAATTTTCCACTGAACAGACTTGACGCCAAGGGACGTAAATTCGTGGTGGAACCAACGGACGATTAATTTAGCGGAAACTCCGCTATCTCATATTAGGAGCCTGTCTCATAATAGAGGACTTTTCCCTACTCGCTTTGTATAGCTACACAGTCATTTTTCTGTGCTCAGAATAAATATATAATTAGAGAACGGAAGCGAAGAAAGAAAGAACCGCGGGAGGTGCTGATGTACAACGCAGATCAAAGATTTCTTTTGTGTCCTCACTTTCATTACAATTACTCACAATCAGACAGGATGTAGATATTATTGCTCCGTGTTGCTTTCTTTCGCTCTAATATGGTCGTATATCATGCGGTAAACGTGAATGCATGAGCGGGAAGAGAACTGTCACTTTAGGAGCATTTACTGATTCGTAACGTGAGATTATATCAGGTTGTTGCACTGTACGAACGAGCAACTGTATTGGAAACACAAAATAATATGTTCCACGTTTTTATATTATTTTTCATATTTTACCTAGATTTGTAATAATGCTAATAATAATGGAGGAAAGTCCACTATCATGAGATAGGTTTTTAATATGAGATAGCAGGTTCTCAACGCTCAAATTCGATCACAAATCTTTTTTGCAACAATTACACAGTCTAAGGGTAAATTTTTCACTGAACAGATTTCGCCCCGAGGGCAAAAAATTCATGGTGAACTCAACAGATGGTGCCTATTAATTTAACAGAAACCCCGCTATCTCGTATTAGAAAGCCTGTCTCATAATAAAGGACTCTTGTCTGTTAATAAAAATATGTCCATCAAATAGATAAGAGAAGACATAGGGAAATGTCAAATTAAAATAGAAGATAGAGAGTAAAAGGGAGGACAATAAAGGTCTGATCTGTTTTTCTTCTTTTTCATTGTGAGTAAATCAATTGCAAAATTCCAGGTAAGGAACAGCAAGATAGGATTCAACGTAGTGCTCATAATAGAGAACCTCGAGTCGAATGCCATGCTGCACTGTCGTGCTTGCAGGCTCGTCGGCAACTTGTCCGAGTGTAGATGGCACGCCGAGAAATTGTGCAATGCCGGGGTAATAAAGGCACTCGTGGCACTTCTGCAGTCGAAGACCGACGAACAAACTTATTGCATGGCCGTCAGAGCTGTGAGGTACGAAATTGTTCCTGGCTTCACATGGGTGTTAATTTCTTTTTTGCTCAACTTTGCTATAATATATAAGATAAAAATTTATTACGTTGTAAATCTCGTGCGTTTTCCGCTACAAAATTATAAATATCTGGTCTAATTGTATTCTAATTGCGTTACAGGAATATCTGGAATGCAGGTAGTTGTGGTAGTTATGGAAGTAATGGTTATTATATGCAAATAGACGTCAGGAAGACGATGCTGGAGTTGGAAATTATCAAACTGATCGCTCAATTATTCGTCACGGCCGAAAAGAAGTCCAACGTGGCCAAGTACGACAAACTCGTAAACGCGTGCCTGAAGGCCATGTGCACATTTCTCATTGACTATAACAAGGCATGCGGCAAGCAGATGTGTGTGAGCAAGGATATGTGTGGCTACAAGTGTCTCATGCGTTGCTGCAGCACGGGCAACAAGCTGGCTGTCAAATGCCTTTACGTTCTCTGCTCGATATTTGAATGTCGATTAGATCTTGGTATTTCCGGCGCGGTCGAGAAGCTCGTAGCGCTGATAAGCACAGCGGACGCCAACTCCAGCTTTTTGAGCGAGGAGATAATGCACTGTCTGAATTTGTTTTGTTGTGATTCGGTGAATCGAAACAGGATCCAGCAAGGCGATGGACTGCAGCTGATCGTGACGATGTTGAGCAAGCCCGAGTACGAGCGTCACCATTATACATTGTTGATGGGTCTCTCAATGTTTGTCTACGACGAGATAAGCCTCGACATACTGACGAAGCACGGCATAGTGGAGGTCCTGGTAGGGAAACTGACCAGTGTCGTGGCTAAGAACAACGAGAGGAACAAAATATCGAGAAAACGTCCCAGCGATTCCGTGATAGAGGATCATTACCTGGTTGTGGAAGGCAAGAGGCCTAACAAGTTTCCCGCCTTGTGGTAAAGTAGATTGCATAATATTTGTGATGTGCGCGTGCCATCCGAATCTGGAATCGAATAATTAATTTGTTATTTCATATCGGGATTAACTACATTAATTTCTCTTTGTGGCAGCTACAACATAGATCGCCGCGACGATTGGAGTCCGAGGAGCGCGACGAGTGGAGCCTCCTCCTCGTCGTCACCCAGCACACCGCCCTTGCCACCTTACTCCGATTTCAATACGGAAATTGACGATCTCGAAGATAACATTTACAGTCCGGTTTATAGCGATAAGGAATGCGACAATGAAGGTACAGTGTCTTTCTTTATTTGTGCCATTGATGAGTTTTTTTTCGTTACATGTGATCCGACGCAAGATTTTGGACAACGTATATTCAAGCGACTTGTTTAAATTCATATCTCCGTATGTTCTGTTGTAGAGGAAGAAGCTGCTTCCCCTAGGAGCTACAAATCATTAACCGTTGAAGCAGACTCCGATTCCTGGTCTCCTTGCCACCACAACGTTCAGACGTCCTCGCAAACGGAATCTAGCGAATTTTATACATTATACATGCTAAATAGACTGACTTTATACACCGAGCCCATCAACAAATTAGCCGAAGCCACGACTATCAAAGGGATAATGAATTATATAAAACACACAAAGAAGCAATACCTAAAAGAGAATGCAATTAAAGTATTGAGGAGGATCATGGGGTAAGATTTCTCAAATTGTAAACATTGTGTTCACACAATTGTTTCTCTTGCATTTTGCACTCGTCACTTTAGAAAGCTTTCATTCGCATCACATTTACCTTTCTCCCGATTTGTTTTGTTCAGGAACGTGGTGTACTTCATGCCGTTGCTGAAGCAGGGGTGTGTGTTCGAAGTGCAAACTCTGCCGGAAACGAGAGAGTACACACGCTATTTGCGCACGGTGGCGGAGACCGGCGGTGCCATTGGTCAGCTATCGTTTACATTGTTGCGCGGCGAAGAGGAGCAGAAGCTGCTGACCGCGGTGTCGATACCGCTTCTCATTGAAACGAAGTGTACTCTCAAGTGCTTGCTGAAGAAATACGGTGGGCTGCAACTGATATTCCGACTGCTGGCGGACTCGTCGAACAAGTTACACAAGCGGGCAATCTGGTCGATCTGCCAGTTGGCGAAAACGCTCAAGATCCATTCGGACGATTACTCGACCGCCGAGACGGCGACGAAGGTCGGCGAGCTGTGCGATTATCCGGAACTGCCTCTCCAGGAGACGAGCCGCACAAAATCCTCGATGGTGACGTTCGAACTGGACGACGGCACGACCATTCAGGCTTGCAGGCGAATGCTGTGCCAATGCTCCCCCGTCTTCTCCGTCATGCTGGAGGGTAACTTCAGTGAGTCGAGTAAAAAGCGAATACGACTGAAGAACTCGTCGCGCAAAGGCCTGAAGACGCTGATACTAGCGGCGAGCGGCGGCGCTAGCATTGTATATACGTTTGAGAAACAAAGCATCGAGTCGCTGTTGGACGCCGTGCTGCTGGCAGACTATTTCCTCATGCCGGACCTGGTGGACACGCTGACTGAGAAATCCATAAACAGACTAAATCATACGAACTTCTACCAAGCTTGGCGTTGGGCCAGAAACCACTCCTGCCACGAATTCAGATCTTATTGTGTCAAGAGCTTTCTTACCGCGAAGATGTCGTGGAGTGAAACGATGCAAACGTTCCGCGATTTCTATGACGTCACCAATACTTTCGACGAGTTCCTATGCGAGATCAGGAACATAATCCTGGATGTGTTGTGCCAATGTTAAAAATAATAGAGTTATCGAATTCGGATCATTGCAATTACGAATAGAATGATTTGTCAACCAGCATGGTGAATCTTTCACGAGTGGGCTCTAAGATAAGAATAGAGTAAGCTTAGCTTATTTATCATTAATTTATGTTTGCTCTATTCTCCAGAACCTTTTTACGAGAATTCTTTGCATAAGCTTGGTTAATATTTTTAATGGCGAGACTATTCGATAATTACACAGGGCGTATCTGGGATAAAAATGGACTTTAATAGTGACAGAAGAGTGGAATAAAAAATATCCTATTAGTATAATATCGAAAACGCATAATCATCTAAATATTGGACCAGCTTCCGATACGATCACCATTTTTTCTTGCAAAATTCAACTTGTCGCAAAGATAATTGTATCTTTTATACATTTGCAGCAATAATCATTGAGCATTTATAATTATTCAGGACATATCGTTAAAATTAACTCGCTTGAATGATTGATCGAAACACTCATTCATTTCAAATGAATGTAGCTTGATGCACTTTTCCATTCGGAACGAATTGATTTTCAGGGTAAGCTTTAACATTTCTATAAATCATTTCGAAAAACATATAGCTTTGTCGAATATACCTGTACAAATAGTAAATACGCAAGGTTCTCTAACCTGGACGCACTTCGATAAAACTCTTCGAATTCTCTCTTATCGTGATTGCGGTATCGAATTTCTCTCCCGTATCTTGTCAAAAGAATTAATGCAGACTACAAACAACATTGCGTTTAAGATACGTAGAGATAATTATTATTGGAAATATTATTTGCTGCAGTGATGTGAAATTTGAAACAAAATTCTTTGACACTTGAGTGTTTGTATTGTAAATTTTTATTTGCATGCCATTAATAAAAAAAAAGTTTAATCGTGAAACATCGAAAAGATCATGTAACCAAACAATATAAAATTATATCTGTGATATTTATGAAGCTTATCAGAATTTAAATAACGTTATTGATTAGATTATTATTAGTATTATGCCTGATAGTTTATTTAACATTTACCTTATTTGATATGCATTTTCAATATTAATAGAAATATCTTTTTCAGAGACATATGCTTGTGTAACTATCGTTTTATTTCTCGTTAATATAATGTATTAATTCTATACATGTTTTAAGATGTTTTAAGCACACTGTAAGCATTTATACATAATATATGTAGATAACATAGAAATACTTATAAAATCGTCATCTTCCATGTATTAATGTTTTCTGTATTTAAAAATGTATTGCAAGTTATGTTCATGAAATATTTCGAAGATATAAAGATAATGTATATTATAGATAAAAATCGTGAGAACAAGCTCTTGCACATTCATTTTTCTACATGCATCGCGTATACAGGATATCACAGAAAGCTCGATAACCCTTTCACTGACAGATTCTGTAAATTTCTAAGATGAAAATCTTTATGTAAATATGTTTAGTATATCGTAGTTTTTAAACGGGAAACACTTAGAGTTGACTAATCAGTTTGTGGAGATTTCGGGCGCTCAGGTACATAAATACAATTGTGAAGGTGCCGCTCCTCAAAAGTAATTTTTTTGTCAATTTCAATGTACAATGAATCAATTGTACAAAAGGGCGCTTTGATAGTCCCGCCATTTTTACGTATTTCGTCTTAAATGTTCCACAGAATTTGTCAGTAAAAGAGTCATATCGAGTTTTCTGGGACATGTTGATATATAAAGGTGTCTAATAAGTAATGTACAGACCAGTATATTTCCTTGTTAAAAAATACGCATCTTCTTTAGCCTTTCTTTAAATTTCCGGAAATGCATTGTATTCGAGATCTCTTTTTTTTTTAATATGCTACAACACCGTAATACAAAGTGCTTTTCTTGATATTTCTTTAATTTGATTTTTCATGTAAAAATTTTAGTAATTTTGCAAGTCTATTTTCATAATAAATATTTATAGTGGAATCATTTTTATTACAAAATTTTATTTGAAGTGAGATACATATTGTCAACAAATTCTCTTATAACGACAGTATGCTTTTCGACTAATGTTTTAATTCAAATCATATCTTTAAATATTTTAGCATGCAAATATGTAAATATTAGACTTAATTAAAACTAAGTTACCAAAGTGGCAAATCAAGATATAAGTAAATGGTATTGGCTTGTTAAAAAATAAGATATCTCGAAAGTTGTAAAAAAAAACTTTTTTAAAAAGTACGAGTATTGGTCTGTATGGAACTCTATGGATTACCTATGGTACGTACCTATGTAGGTATGTGTATATACACGTGCATACATAACATGTATATATACACATTCAACAAATATAATGAATTATATGTACATTAAATTTACTTATTTGCATTGCATTATTAATAAAATTTTCATTGATCCTCTTTCCGCAATCGTTTTATGTTCTCATGATATTTTTCTGTCAGTTAGCTTCAGCTTGAGAGGCTCTGATGGCACGGAGATCAACTGTAAAATCATCTTAATGCTGTCTCGATTTTCACACTCAATCTTGAAATTTTTAATGATCTACAAGAAAACGATGTACAGCTGTAGTCATGAACTGGAATTAATTGCACGATCGGTGGCTCACCTGCGCCAAAGTAAGAGACAGTTGAGTTTCCGCAAGTTTGCGACCGACGCAATTCCTCAGGCCTGCCGAGAACGGCACACTGGCACGTGCGTCTCTCACTCCTACATGATCGCGTAAACTTTCCTTCAGTCTCACCCACCTTTCTGGCCAGAAGTCGTTGGGTCGTGGAAAATTGTTCTCATCGCGGCTGCTTGAATAAAGCGATATGATAATTAACTCCTAGAAAAAAAAGTAAGTCTCTAATTTCTTTCAATTAATTGTTTCGCCTAGTGTCTCAACGGAGCGAATAATTTGCAAATGAGCAAATTTTACTAAGTTTTTACCCCTTTTGGCACAAAATAACCACCAATTGTAGCATCTGTCTGCAAATATCTCGTAAGAAATGGTGCAACTGGGTATAGTCTCAAGGTTTCCTTCCCTATGTTCCTCAACAGCTGACTTTGCAGAATTTCTTCCAGTGGTAAATCTTTGATGTCATGAAATAATTGATCTTGCAGCTCGGGATGATTACAGAGCATGAGCAACGTCCATCGCAAGGTAACCGAAGTCTAAATAAGCGATCGCAGAATTATCTTAATTAATTAATATAATAATTTTGCTATAGGTGCAGAATGTTCCATTATCACCAGAATATAAAATATCAATTTCTCAAAAGTAATATAAAATCAACTTTTCCAATAACCAAAATAACTTTTGATTGAAAAATATTTAACGTTGCAAATGCTGAGTCATCAATTTCAAATAATTATACCCTCCTCCCTATCTGAGTTTTAGATTTAAATTTATGCCTCGTATTATACATGTACGTATCTCACACTAGTAATGACTAGCAATACAAACGAAAAGAAATAATAATTCAATTTCAAATGAATTGAGAACGTAAACAAGAGGGAGATGAGCTCTTTTACGTATAACACTTGTCATATTTGTTTTGTTGAAAAAGTTTGCTTTAAAACAATGCCTTTTTTCTTGTTAAATTTCGCTAAATCACAAAACATCCTGTAATATATTGATAAATTAAAAAACGTACTGTGTCGCCGGCGGCCATGATTAAATCTGTAACAATTCTGGCGATCTTATCTTCGCCAATGCCATGACTCATCAGCACTTTTAAAAGTCCGTCGTTGTCATGTTGGATTATTTGCGGCATTAGTTTGTGTATCTTGTCCAGCACCGCATCGACAGTTTTAACGAACTTGGTCCATACTGGTAATCGGAGCTTCATCGCCACCTTGGGCGGTATTAACATGAGAGGTACGGAGTACTTGAAAACCCGGTGTACCAACAACGCCACGAATTCTATCTCAGAACGTATTTGCGGCTCGCAACCCCGCCATCGCGAACCCATCAGTGTCGCCAGCGTCACTATAATGGGAATTAACACGTAAATCAGCGTTGCTGTTAATTGCGAATGATCGTTTAATCTCAATTTTACGCAATCGTCGAATGTGTAATGCGCTAAATGCCGTTAAAAATGTTATTATGCGATTGATCTCTAAGGTTTACCCTCGATAGACCACTGATACAGCTGATGTTCCAAGTTCGGTATCACTTTGCCGGCTTGACTGTACGTCTTCCATTTGTTTGTTAGATTTTCGGCAACTTCCTGGCACGGTGTGCACAGAAACATCATTGGAGAAGGCTTCAGCATCGCTTGATTGACGATTTTGCGGTGATACCACCACTCTTCTCCGTCCCTATTCCAACAATGTTCTTTTGTTATAGACTTATTTTACAAGTCGAATCATTTCGCTGAGAGGAAGAGAACTCGGACGAATATTTGATTAGTGAAAGAGATTATACAAAAAAAAAAATTAAAATTGCTATCCTTCAATATGACGCAAACTTTTCACATTATGTTGTACGCAATCTCATCGTTAATGTCTAATTGCATCGGATCTTTTTAGAAGAGTTATACAACAGTAGAAACATCTCTAGTAGCACAGTGCATTGGAAATGCATTGGCCGATATTGTCCAACGTAAAGCCAATATTGGCCATGGAATAAATGTAAATATTGCACGGTAATAATTATATGTATAATATTAGATTTATATTGGAAGTGCATTGGCCAATATTTAACAGTGTAATAAGAATATTGGTCTAACATTGATACAATATTGAACCAGTATTGCTAAATAGACACATTGGCTAAATAGAAGAAGGCATCTTACAACATTGGTAATACGAGATTTACATTATTTCCCAATATTGCGCCAATATATTGTGCTACTCATACGTACATGAAGAGCAGACCACGGTGCTGCACTCGGATCTCGTTGTACAGCTTCCAGGCTTCCGGTAGAAAGTGCTGCGGATAGGGACCCGCGAAATCGATCAATATCTTACGATATTCGTCGGGCGACTTGACGAAGACACTTCGTACCGGTCCAATCTGTTCTCTGTAGACCGGTCCAAGTTCTCGGTGTCTCTTGTCAACGTATTCGTGCAGCTTCATCGGGCCACCGGCCGCTATCAGGAACGGCAACGTGCCGAAAAGGGGAAGACCTCGCGGCTCGGGTGGCTCCTTCCTCACCGAAGTGGCGAAATCTCGCGCGAACGTTCGCGATAACGCGGAGTTCCTCACCAAGCCCTGACCGGATATGTTCCACGAAGGAGGAGCAGCAGCAGCATCGTTCTCGTTCAGTGTCGCAGGTCGCGGATCGGGCCCGAGTACTCCGCGCTTGGCGAACGAGACTTTGAAGTCGTCGCAGGGGTTCAACGATCTCGCGAATCTTCGCAATGCTCTTCGCGTAGTATGCATCTCTCTGGCGACACCGGGTGTAGCGAGACGGAGAGAACGAGCGTGCAGCTTCGCTGTCAACGAGAAATTAGATTGTGATCGTATCGTATCTGATACGCGTACCGATTCAGCGCTTCGCGATTCAGCAAGTTTTTCTTCAACTCAACGAAATTATTATAAGACTACTAATGTGTGCAAACGGGGATAAGCAAGTTTTGTAAAAACAGAGGCAAACGAAAAGACACCATCGGCTTAATGTGCCGCGGCACTTAATTGTGTTGTTTTCAAATACACGTAACTACAATACATGTAAATACAATATCGCTCTTTTCCTCGTTTAAATCTAACACGACGGTTGAGTCCTTTGTTTCGACCGTTCAAGATCTCGTGTATTCGGAGGATGTATCTCGGTACCCGGATATCTCACCGATATTTCTTCCCCTTTCGCGCTGTCCTAACGTAATTTATTATGCGCGCTGAAAGGCGCGCCAACATCAGGAGATAAAAATGCAGTTTAAGAAAAACAGGACGGTACAAGTAAAATGTTATTATGCACGTACGTGTTTGATTTTCATTTGAGATTAATTTAAAAATTACAATTTACCGAGACATTCTACGTCCATGGCATAGTCTTTACTTGCAGAATAATTTTCATTTGATATGTTTAATGCGCTATCTAGCATTTAATTTCGCTGAATCAGCTGTAAGCTCGCTTCACTTTTCATTTAATCCGAGTATAAAAATAAGCGCGAGGTTAAAAACGCACACTGTTCTCTCTCTAGAATTATTTCTCCTATATAATAAATAAAAGTATTACACGAGATGGTGATGCCAAAGTGTAATTTGGGCAGCCAGTGCAGCCTCCTTTTTTTAATTTTGTTATTTGTAACAATCTAGACGCGCGCTCCAAACACGGGTCTTTAAAATAGTTTGTACTGTTTTTACTGTACAACAATTTAAAGTATGAACAACCCAGTGAGAAACGATGTCAAATTCGACGTCGATTGACGAGTCATTTCTCGCTGGGAACTTTCCGAAAGAAATAGGGACGCGTTAACTCACGCGAGCGAACGTTGTATCAACCAAATCTCAAAGCGCGCCGTTAACGATAACGCATTATCCCTTGGCATCGTGTTTCTCAAATGTGCGTGTTACGTAATTTCAGTTCGGCAGTTTCGCGTTGTTTTTAAATTATGTCGCGCTTTCGATTTGCGATCGATTCCTTCATCGCGATTTAATCTCATTCTGTGAAATAATGCATTCTAATGCAGGCAAGCTGAATTTCAATCCGCCGGCGAGAAAAAGAGAACAACGCGGTCCGAACCGGTTGGCATTTCAAAAATAAAAGACAAGATTGTTAGGGAGACCTAAACAGCGGTTAATAACGCAAATGTATACACACCGATATTCGTGTTTTGCTTCTAATTAGTCCACTTCTCACGGCGTTACATCGTATCACATTTATCGAGGAATTAACGCCGTCTCATCGCAGAATCGTTGTATTTGAAAACTGAGACCCGCGCGTGGCTTCTACGCGCTCTCTCCTTACACACAGCGTCTGGAGACTCAGACGTGCCCGTACGTGCCGGTCTAACAAACTACGCTCGATTCTCTGGGGTCAAACTGTCGAACTCGCCTGGCGAGCATCCTGATCTTCACTGCCGCGCATGCGGCCTCCTGGCTGCCGGTCGCTGGCACAGACCGACCGGAAGCGAAGCCGGCTGGAAGCGTGGTCCATCGAGCCGATCGAGACGACCTTCTGCCGTCCACGCGAGTGAACGACGGGCTTTGCAGCAGGAGACTGCGGCGGGTACCGTTATCTGCTACTGCGCCGCCGTTCTATCCTTCTCGCCTCGACTTAGAGGAGTGCTCGAGTTCGCTTCCCGGGTTTCTACCTGAGACATTTAGGTATCGTTAAAGTACGCACGGATTAATTCCATAATGTTTGTAACTGAGCGACTCTTTTCTTTTTAGGGAAACTATATTGTCGTCGGCTCGCCGTTAAAAATTACCCTACATCTCTCAGAGAATAAAGGCGATGTTTAAAGCGTCTCATCTTCGATGGAAAAAAAAGAGAAGAGAATTCTCTTCTCTTCCCCGTTCGATTTTAAATCGCCCGGCAGGTGCCTATAAGACGCGGACATCTGAATGTCAAAGTAGCTGAGACGGCCCGTCGAGGGCCGAGAGGGAGAGACACGTCGATCACATCCCGAGATATGCTAAGTTTATTCAAAGTGAATCGGTTGCGTGGAGTTTTACGTCGCGCCTCGGCGTATCCGGCGTGTCCAAGGATTCTCCGAGTTTCCGAAGCATCTGATAAACAAGGCACCGTCCGGCCCTCCATCTTCTTCTCTCCTCAGCCTCCTCTTCCATTTTGTCCCTACAAAACGAGCGAGAGATGAGAGTCGCGACATGTTTCAGCTGGACCATCGTTGAGCTATCATTTCAGGCGGCGCGAACGTCCCTTTTGTCGGAGAATCTGAATCGAAAGTCTTCTCACCTTTGCGATATCCCAACGCACACGCACCATTCGGTCCTTCCAGCCTCTTTTCTTTTCCGCTTCTACTTCCATTTGGCTCCTACAAAACGAGCGAGAGATGAGAGTCGCGACATGTTTCAGCTGGACCATCGTTGAGCTATTATTTCAGGCGGCGCGAACGTCTCTTTTGTCGGAGAATCTGAATTGAAAGTCTTCTCACTTTTGCGATATCCCAACGCACACGCACCATTCGGCCCTTGCCAGCTTCTTTTCTTTTCCGCTTCTACTTCCATTTGGCTCCTACAAAACGAGCGAGAGATGAGAGTCGCGACACGCTTCAGCTCGACCACTGTTGAGCTATCATTTCAGGCGGCGCGAACGTCCCTTTTGTCGGAGAACTTGAATCGAGAGTCTTCTCACCTTTGCGACACCCCAACGCACCGTTCGGCCCTTCCGCCTTCCTTTAAATCAATCGTCCCTGATCGTCGCTCCTTTCTACTTAATCTCCCTCGAACAGTTTCGAATAAATGCGGAACAGGGAGAAAATCGAGAAGAAACGAGCTGCGGACCAAAAAAAAGGGCGGATCGCACCAAACCTGTTTGTCGTATCGCATCAACAACAACCGCATCGGCGCCTGGGCATGATTAATGAAGCGCGCAGTGTCGCGCATTCTCGAAGGCAAAACCTTTTTGATCTTTGCGATCAATCCCGATTTCCTCGTCGACGCCTCCGCGCTCTTCCCCAACGGCAGTTTCTCCACGGCTCGCGGTTACGAAGTGCGCCAAGTTCGCCGAGTATCGATACATCTCGATCGCGGTATCGACCAGTATCGAGAGAGAGAGAGAGAGAGAGAGAGAGAGAGAGAGAGAGAGAGAAGATTTAAGAAGATTTTCTTTCTCTGTCTTACTCCAGCGAGAAATGTCTCGTGAATCGATGTCGAAACGATGTCAAACGACATCGTTTCGACGAATCATTTCTCACTGAGTACACCATCGTAAAAGAAAAGAATCGTGCCTGCGCCTCCTTTGCCGCGATGGTGAGACAGAGAAAGAAAGTCTTCTTAAATCTTCTCTGTCTCTCGCTTCACAAGCTTCAGCTTATTCAATGGAACGCTCAGTCTATATATTTACTACGTCTATGCGCGGCACCTTTGAACGCGCCGCTCTCTCTCTCTCTCTCTCTCTCTCGGTAACGTTATCGCGCCATTATCGGGCAACGGGGCACCGATTGATCCGTCAATCGGGTACCGGCGTCGGCCGTCATCTCGCCACTCTCGCGGGATCCCTAGAGCTCGGGGCATTCCGCCGCTCGCTCGTCGCCGAGGAACGACGTGTCGCGCGCGCGCGCATCTGGTCCGCGGAGCTACACTCCGCTACACCCTCGCAGTGCCGTTCCACCTGCACCCTTTCCCTCCCCCTCTCGCGTTCGCCGCGCGTTCCGGGGTGCAGAAAGTACGAGCGAGTTGCAGCGAGTTGCGAGTGACCGTTGAGGGAGACGGAGAGCGAGAGATCGCGATCGGACGATCCCACCTGTGGTCTCCCCGCGTCCTGCGACAGCCCGACGGACGTCGTCTCCGCTCGAGACCGAATCCCCCTCTCCCCCCCTCCGACACGATGGACATCGACGCCGAGACCTGTCTCAAGGATTGGAACGACCTGGCGCAGGATTACAAGGAACTCGAGGTGAGAATTGTCGCGCGGGACGTCACCGACGAGGTTAGGTCTCGCTCCCTCGCGGCGCACGTCCCCGCGCGATCGCATCGCGACCCGCGGATCGGCAGCCGACCTGGACGTCGGCAGGGAGAGAGATGGGCAGAGAAAAGGGAGTCGCGGGTTTTTTTTCAGCGTTTTCGCCAACGTCACGTGACGCCCGCGTGACCTTGGTGATAAATCGATCACGCGGGAGCGACCTGACGCGACTACTTTCCGCCGTTAATTACCGATTGGCGATGCCCGCGTTTTGAATAGCGGCGAATGATACTGCGGAAATTTAATAGTCGCCGCGACGATTGCGACACCCGCGCGATTAACATATTGTTTTGACCTGTGCGACATAAGTGGAGTTGAAGGGAAGGAAGAATGTAGCGGCGTGAACTGCGTTTTACAAAGAAAAAAATGTATGCACGATCGTACGAGTTGCGCGAGAAGATAATATAGAAAGTACACCGTGTAACGTGAGGTGTGACGAGAGTAGGCAAATGCTCGTTATCGATTAGTCACAAATCACACTTCGCGATCTGCGATCGCCGCTCATTGACTGATAATCAAGATATTGGAAGATACCGCGGTAGCGCGCTAAAGAGACATGTTACTTGCTTGCAGGCACTAAACAGGGAGTACCTTGTGAAATTGGAGGAAATCGGCGAGCTGCAGGCAAAATGTGTCAAAGGTATCTCCCACCAGAAGTACCGGATGGGCATAATATCCAAATCCCTGAAACAGTAAGTCAGCGTAGTGTCAGCCTGCGTATTCTTGAGTCCTGTCTCATAATAGAGAACTTTCCTCTACATTGAACGATTGTAGCGTCTGTAATGATTTCGGTTGAAGTGTTGCCGGATCGATAATCCATTTGACGTTTGCATTTCTAGGCTGAGCACGAAAGATGCGCGAGAAGACCTGAGGAACTCTATGGCGAGGAGGGAGCAGCAGCTCAGGGAGATCGAGCAAACGTTACCCAAATCCAATGGCGTTTACTTACAAATTATCTTGGGCAGCGTCAATGTCTCCATCTTAAATAAAAATGACAAGTATGCCGCTATTAAGCGCCAAATCTAACGTATCTTGTGCCCGGAGTGATTTCACGTGATGTTGTCTTTTAGATTCAAGTACAAAGATGAATATGAGAAGTTCAAATTAGTGCTGTCGGTGATCGGCTTCGTATTGTCTGTGTTAAATCTATTTACCAATATAAGGTGAGATACTATTATCCGTTGAATTTATTATTATCGATATTGCAGTTTCTTTCTACGAAATTCCTAGTTGTACATAAAATAATACGTTCGCATATATTGTTTTGCTACACTTGGTGCTAATACAAATATTTGTGCATGTTAAACTTGTATATGTTTTATAACTGTTGCGTTTTCTTTTATATTTCAGGACCTTAGAACTTAGTTTTATGTTTCTCCTCGTCTGGTACTATTGTACGTTAACGATAAGAGAAAGTATACTCAAAGTGAATGGCTCAAGAATAAAAGGCTGGTGGAGATTCCATCATTTCCTCTCGACAGTGATAGCCGCTGTTCTACTAGTCTGGCCGACCACAGGATCGTGGTACGAGTTTCGTAACCAGTTCATGTGGTTCAACTTGTATATCAGTGAGTGTTGTACAATTTTCAGCAAAATGCTAAAGATTTAATAGAGAAGTCGTTTGTCCAGAATTCAAATGCAACTTACAACATTATCTCGCTCTCAATTGCGTGTGATAGCTAAATGTTCAACTTGCGCTCACTTTTCAGGCGTAGTTCAGTACTTGCAATTTCGGTATCAACGTGGCGTTTTATACCGATTAAAAGCACTGGGCGAAAGGGACAATATGGACATCACCATCGAGGGATTCCATTCGTGGATGTGGCGCGGCCTTTCGTTCCTGCTGCCGTTCCTCTTTGCCGGTTACTTATTTCAGCTTTACAACGCGTACACGCTGTTCGAACTATCGTACCACCCGGAGGCGACGTGGCATGTATCGGTGCTTAGCGCAATGTTCCTCGTGCTGTTTCTGGGTAACACCACCACCACCAGCATGGTAATCCCGCAGAAACTCGTTAAGGAACGCATTAAGGATCATCTGTTCGCGTCTAAGCCCGATCGCAGAAAGGAGGGGAGCGCACGCGATAAAGACAATAAAGTTGAAAAGAGTGAATGAAGGGAGAACGTTGGGTACTTCAGGCTGATGAACGGCTCAACTCGGTTACAAAAAATTTGAAACAATTGTAAAAACATTGAATGATTATGCTATAAAATGGTGTTGGTGCTGGCTCTAAAATATAACGAACAGTACTTCGTTGCGTTGAACAAAGGTAAATTAACACATACATACACATGCACATATACGGCGTAAGTGACTTCGACTACAAACGAAGAAGAGAGTTTCCGCATATTTTTCTTTACTATACTCTTGGATAAAGTCCAAGGGTTGAGTGCTCTCGAGAGTGTTCTTTGTACGCTTCGACCGTCCTGAAATAAACTTGCCTAATTGCAACAAAAGGCTTCTCGAATGAATTTGAGTCACGTTTTTAACAGAGGAAAGTATCAAATATATGAAAGAATCGTGTTCCATTATATTCTTTAAAATTAAGTAATCTTTATAGACGAAAATTAACCAAATTTATTTGAAATTAATCGAGTGCTATGACTTAAATTTACACTTAAATTTTTTGTCTTTTATTCTCTGGTGAAAAACATGCCTCACTTTAAATCCTTCATTATCTAAGCATTATTTGGTGTCTCGATAGTTTTGATTGGAGGAAAATTGTCTATTCCACATTGGTCGAACAATCGTAATTTGCCGTTTCATTATGGAACATGTAATTCTTCGGATTAAAGTGCTTGAACCAAACGTAAGCATTTATATTTGATGAAATCAATAACATACGATATTATGGTTCGATCATGACACGCAATACGATGCGCAAATATTGACGCAAAACTGTTTGATAAGATGCCAGCTAATCTTTTGGCGGGGAATTTATATGTATATATGTACACATATACACAACACATACAAACACGTAAAATGTATATGTACAGGCTGTTTCTTAAAGTTTGCTAGTGAAATTATGCTCATATCTGATGAAACAAAAATACTCTATACACACATCTAAAAATTGTGTAGTCATTCTACATGAAGACACACATAAGTATATAAAAGTACATATGCGATATCGCGTAAAGAACACGTTTGTTCGTATTACGAGATATCGCGTATAAAAAGAACACGATTCATGTATAATTCATGTACAACTACGACAAGCTTTGCTCCGAATGTATTTATTGAAATGTATTTACTCATGTGTAAATAAAAGCGTGCCGAGCCGCCTAATTCTACAACGAGAACTTGCAGTTGAAAATTACTTACGCGTCGAGTCGCTAATCCGAGTTTTTTTTTAACAAGTTTCTCATTTTGTTTCACACTTCTATTCCATCGTGTAAGCGTGAAAAGGCATGTTTCGTCGAACGCCACGAATATTTTATTATATACGCAACTTATAACAACGAATTATGTAAATTATACACAATTTATATGTATGTGTATACATGTATTATTTATATTTATACACACACATAATAGTAATTTTGTAATACAATTTCTGTAATGCATTATTTGGACAGTAATGCGATTTGGACCATTTTATTATAACTAATAATGTATCTTTTTTGACGAATTAAGAAACTGAGTGATGCGTGCGTATCAACGGCTTGATTTAATTGAAAAATGCTCTTATTCACTTCTTACTTCCTTCGTCCATGATATAATTTTAGATATAAATCTCAACTTTGAAAGAAATTCCAACTGTCATTTCTGTCAAGTTAACGAAGGTGCTCGATCAATGAATCGATAAACGATACGTCAACTTCTAGATCCATCAGGCTCAAAGTGCAGATACTTGAGATTTCCAAGTGGAAAGTGAGAGGTCGACATGCATAAGGAGTGGCACACAGTGAACCTGACGAGAAGGAGAGCCGGCTCGCACCAACCGGCGACGATAGCTACGTCACTGCCTGGAAAAGCAATAGTTTAGCCATTGCAATCCTACGCTTAGATAAGCTCACCCAGTCCACTTATCGACGTTCACGAGCGTGCAAGGAGTCGCGTGAACTTTGCACATCCTATTACATTCAGGTGCGCAATCAACAGCCGAGATGCCGGTGAGGATCAATTGGCCTATGCTGGCGGCGACGGTTTGCCCCAACATTGGCGGCTGGGTCGGCGGCTTAATCACCCAGAAAAATATCAGTTGGTACGAGGTGAGGATCCACACGCCAAGTACGAGACCACCTCATTGTCATGCGACACATTAAATATGAGAAATTAAGACTGCACTGCCTGATTGGAGGAATATTACGTCATTGTCTGCGCTTTCGCTGCTAGATTCTAAATATAAACTCGCGGAAACGTTTGTAGGCGAAGGTCGTCCGATATGCACGAATCGATACAAGAGCGATTCGCCAAGTGTAATATGGTGTTACCTGGATCGTTCGATCAGCATTTAGAATGAAAATCCGGGGCCTGCTTCGTGTATCTTTCTACCGAGAATTGTCACGGCAATATTATCATTTATAATTACTTGCATTTATATTTCTTTATAATCTGATATTTAATCATGGTTCGTAATTACAATCTTAATTTTATGGTCATATATAATAAATATATACTATGCGCTATTTATATTTAGAAATGATTATAACTGCATGTATTCATCTAGTTTTTCGCAATTGTATGTTATCTATTACCGCCATCGTAAGTACGAGACCGCCTCATTGTCACATGCGACACATTAAGATATGAGAAATTAAGACTGCGCTACCCGGTTGGAGGAATATTACGTCGTTGTATAGACTTAATTTATCTGCCTAGTTACAGCGATTCGTATCGTGCGCGATACACAAATGCAAGAAAAGGAACAAGTGTCTGAAGGCTGTATTGAGTAATCAGTAATCATAGCAAATAATCACAATCTCGCGAATCTGTAATTACGCATCGACCCGATTATTAAAAAATTCATAGTCCTCGTATAATCTCTGAAAATGTTAATACACTTAGGGCCAGTTTCACAAACGTCGTTTAACCGCTAACCCATGGTTAATTGATCCTCTGTCTCTTCTTGGATAACAAGATAGAGAAAGATAGGAAGTCGACTGAACTCTGGTTAATAGTTAACCGACGTTTGTGAAACTGGACCTTAGCAATAGAAACGCTGTTTACAATCAGGCTGGGTCTTTAGCGTCTAATTATGTTTTCGCGCGTATACATTTTTTTTTCAACAAAGCAAACTGTGCGCCGATAACTTTCGGTCTTGAAATAATTGATAATCTATTTAATATGTTTAGAATAAGTATCTTATTATCAATTTAATTACGTATACCATTTGGACATCAACTAAATACTGTGTTTTAAGACCGAAAGTTATCGGCGCAGTTTGCTTTGTTGAAAACAGATGTATACACGAAAATATAATTAAACACTAAAGATCCAGCCTGACCGTAAACGACGTTTCCATTATTATTTGTGTTAATCGCATAAAACAATCGAATTCATTTATCATTATTGTTAATACATTTATCCTTTCTTGTGCGTGACATGTTCTATTATCTCGATATTTTCTTCTTCATATAATCTCCATATGTACAAAGTCTTTAAAAAAAAGAACTACAAACTTTTGAGACTTACATCCGTCTATAAAAAAAATAAATTTTTATGTATCCTAAAGTTCATACTTGAGATACAAGTAACGATAGAAATTCAGTCATTGTTCTTATTGGTAATTTAAATGCAGTTTCAAGCTTATTTAACGGATTAATGATTGCTTGATGTGATAAATGAAGATCTTATGACTATGAATATCGATCGATAACAAGTACTCCGACAAACAATTCAAATTCGTGAATCACTTAAAAAAAACTCGTAACAAAGTACTAATATATGACTGCAAATCTGCAATTTATTACGCTTGTGTAACCGGTGGTTGAGGGCAGTCTGTAATTATTTCCGTCCGTGAGTATTCACTTTAAAGGATACGTAAGAGAGAGGTTTTGTTTTCTTTTCAAATATTCGAGAGAAAATCGCAGCAATCAGACGTTTCTGCTATTCCTCTCGGATATCTGTTCGCAAAGTAAGTGCCGATACGTTATCTCGGGATACTTTATTTTGCTTACACAAAATCTCTTTTCGTGAAAGAGAAAGAAGACTTAACTAAAAGAGCAGCCAAGCAGCACGTGCGTCTACCGTGTCAATCGCGGAAATGCTCAAGTGTTTACAATAAATTACACCTTACCACTAGTGATATAATAACACGTAATATTTCGCTTTTGTACGTATAGATGTGTTCGCCGCGCCTTAATTCGTTCATTTCTCGTTCCAGTCACTGGTAAAGCCAAAATACACCCCGCCGAATTGGGTGTTCGGGCCCGTGTGGACCACCCTCTACTGTACAATGGGCTACGCGTCATATCTCGTGTGGCGAGACGGAGGTGGCTTCGAGGCAGCGGCCGTACCGCTCGGCATTTACGGTCTTAATGTCGCACTCAACTGGTCGTGGACGCCGCTGTTCTTCGGGGCTCACAAAATAAAATTGGTATTACATTTGATCACATAATACATACACACGCGCGCATCAAACATACGTTAATTATAAATCTTTGGGACCGTTTGAGTGTCTTCCGTCTATAATTTTACCTTTATAATTATTACTATGCACATAATTATTACAGAGTTGGGAAAGTTACTTTATAAAAGTAAATAATCTAGTTACATTTACAGTTTTTTCGCTAGAAATGCAACTAGTTTATACAGTTACAAGTTACCAATTCTGAAAAGTAACGCGTTACAGTTACAGTTACTCAAAAAGTAACGAATCGTTACTTTGCAGTTATTTACTTGCAATGAAAATAAAAATACCAAATCTGCATTTAAATTATTAAGTGTCGATAAAGGCGTTTATGCGCTTAGGCAAAGCTTAATGTGATCTGTGAAGATTTTTGAAAAATATAAAGTAACTATTAATGTAACTATTAAATTAGTTACTAGTTATAAACAAATGTAACTGAGTTCAGTTACAGTTACAGACGGAGAGAAATTAAGAAGTTAAGTTAAAGTTACCAAAAAAAGTAACTGTAACTGTAACTTCATTACAAGTAACGAGTTACTTCCCAACCTCGAATTATTACTACGTTGATTGAAAGACATCTATAATCACGATAGATCTTTCCGAGATTCGCATCGCTTAAAAATAATCCTAATTAATCTGCGAATGGCTAGTGAAAAGAGAAAAATCGGAAATTAATTTCTCTTTTAGTTCCAATGATAATTACGAAGGAGAGAACTTGTATTTTTTCCAAGCCAATAAAAAATTCATATTTCTAAAAATAAAGATTATACATAATCAATAAAATTTCATAAGAATATTGTATAATATGCAATCTCCATTTTTTAAAAATATATAAGTTTCTTTTTAATTAAGACGGTTTGGAAAAAATAAGTTACCAATGCCCAAATCGCTCAAACGATCCCTAAATCTTACAGCAGTTTTAGGTCGAAGCGAGTTTAGGGATTGCTTTGGACGCGATTTTAGATCAAACTTTTGTGAACTGACGTTCGATTAGAATCGCTCTTTGTTGATTTCATCAAACTTAACAAATAATAGGTTTATTTATAATTATTTACCAGTGTACGTTCAAGCTAAATTTCTAAGTTGAGAACGATTGAAGCACGTTTCATAAATTTTTGACATGATTTTTGCATTAACCAGAAACAGAATGCGGTATCATTAAGCGCTTTCGGAGCAATCTCACGAAACTCCGCTTCGGTCGAAAATATTATTAAGACTATCCGTTTTACATTCGTGCACAGGCTCTCTACGAACATGTGGCGGTGTGGACCAGCACAGTGGCAGTTGGGATTGCGTTCTACCACACCAAACCCATTGCCGGCTATCTCATCATCCCGTACATTGTGTGGGAAACTGCCGCCATACTGATGAATTACTGCATTTATCGGGACAACAAGCTGCCCG